TTGGTTTTAGTTTTATGATTTAGTCAAAGCTTGGAATATGAAGAAAGTCTGAGATGTAAATATCTAAAATGCAAAGATCAAACAAATTTGAGCTCCGTACCTCCATTTCAGCCTTTGTGTCTGTTTTTTAAAGATTCATATGATTACAGCTCATGATTAAAAGCATGATGTGACCTCAGTAAAGCAGGGTTAGCATAGCTTAGCATTAAGCTTGGAACTGGAGGAAAACTGGTCACTCAGAGTGAAGCTCCGAGGCTTTCTCCTTACTGATGAGGAGCTGTGATTCAGCAAGGCTGCAGCAGGAAACAGGATGTCTGTGTGAGGAAATGAGATCTTTGTTTTCTTCATCAGTGACACGTCTGTCATCAGCATCATTACCAATGATAAAGACATAAAAATCAGAATTCATGAGAACAGACCAAAATATACCATGATGAAAAGGAATCAGATGAGATTTCTACATGTAGAAAGAGGGGGTTAATGGCGCAATCAGCGGCATGCGTCATGCTTATAATATTATCAGCTAATTATTAAGGAGGGACAGATAAAGCCTTGAAGGGGGCAGACCACTTTAGCAAGTTTTGAAGTTGACTGTTGCCTGCTTAAATCCAACTCTAGTTCATTTGCCTAGAAAGTCTTCTTCGGTTGGGGAGGTGTGAATGTGTTATCAAACTCTGAAACAGACCAAAAAAACGAACTCTGGTCTGCCTACAAACTTTGATCTGGGTTCGGCTGAAATGAACTCTGGTTCAGTTTGAATGCCAAGCGGACTGAAAACCGCTCCAAAAGTAGGAAGTGGCCTACACTGCAGGGCATTCTGGGTAAATACAACCAAAACTAACATGCTAGCTTAGTGCTAGCAGGAGAAACCACAGCTTGGCTGAGATTCAGCCAAGCTGTGGTTCTTGCTGCGGTGGTTCTTGGTGCAGCGCCCCCACAGGCCAGGAGGGGAACCGGTTGGTTTGACTCAGAACCACAGCAGCTGGAGGAGGAGCAGATGATGGAGTTCTGGTTCCAGTTGAACCGGACTGTCAGGTGGTTGTTACATTTAGCAGTCCCTCCAGTTTTTTGCGATCCTGTAATTATGGAAAATGTATGCAAAATCACTAGGGTTTTTTTTTCCCGTGTTTTTGCATGATTTTCATTTTATTTTACATTTTTCGCTAAAATTGTCAAAAATACTGGGTTTAAGAGACTTCTAACTCTCACCTCCAGGTGGCAGTATTTATTACTTCTACTACAATGCTGCCTCAGACTTACTTGATGTCAATGTATTGTCTGTGATCATTATGGCATGCAATAGAAAATCTAGTTTACAGAATATTCTTCTTGTTTTCCAGAAAGCAGCGACTCGGGACAGGAACGTGTTCAGTGATGGAAAGACTCGAATTGGTGAGATGGATTTTACTGAAACCCTTTACCAGAATTTATGTTAGGTATCATTTAACATCTTTTTACTGAAAAAAAACTGAGATTAATTTCAGTATTAATGATTAAAATGTTGTAAATCAGCTTACTGTTTAAATTCTACAGCTTTATGTTGTTAATAAAACATTCATTTGTTCATAAAGAAGGAATTAGGAATATCTTTTTCCATCTGCATGAGTAAACTTTTGAGTGCTGTTTTCCTATTGGTCAGATTTTGTCCTGGTGTGGGAGGAGCTTCGGGGTGTTAATGAGAATGGCACCACCCAGAGGAAGTGGAGGGAACAGTTTCTGAGGAGACTGAAACAAGTAGGCCTGCTGCAGGAGCAGGTGAGTGAAACAAACACACCTGAGAGTGAAGTCAAACCCAAACAGAGCGACATGTGAGTGAAACGGCTGCCTCTGATTGGCTGTGATGAGAAATGTGATGCCTCAATGTAAACAGTTCAAGGAACAGAAAAGTCATAAATGTTTGTAAAGAGAGGTATGCAGGTCCAAGCCCACATCATGAGTCCCCCACCACCGTGGCGGCGTTCTGTTTCCTGCTGTGCCAAACATTCACTTGTCCCTGTGTGTCCTGTAGAGTTTCTGTGGGGTTGGTGGGATCAGCATCACTCTGGTGGTTCTGTCCTGTTGTCCACAGAGGGTGGTCTCCCAGGTCAAGAAGAGGATCCACTTCATCCTCCTCAGCGCCCCCTGGCATCTCCTCTGCTACTACGCCGAGGAGATCAGTCTCAGAGCGCCCCTCCAGGTAAAACCCTCTCATGCAGCTGTCATACCTCTAGTGGACGTCCTCTCAGCGTGTCCTTTGTCCTCCTGCAGGTGGTCAACATTCCACTCACTAACTGGTCTGAAAGCTTCCTGTCCAAGCTGTCCCTGCCCAGTCCTCTGTCCCAGAACGTCCCCAACCCACCGCTGGAATACTACACCTGTCAGTTCAGGAACAACAAGCTGGAGAGGTCTGCTGTGTCTCCGTCCTCAGTCTCTGTCCTCAGTTTGGGACCAGACTAGTTCCTGCTGCAGCATCACCTGTCCTCTATCTGCAGGTTCCTGGGAAGTGACAACAAAGAGACGTTCTTTAAGACCACCCAGAGGCACATAGTGGTGAGTTCAGGAACTATTTGTTTCGTGGGAAAAAAATTATCTTCTCTTACTCAGATTTGAAAAATATAGCATTCCACCAAATTACCTTTAACACCTTCTCTAAGAAAGTGAGCAAAATGTTGTGTTTTGTATCATCATATGCAGATGATATTGAACTGAGCCTGAAGTTACTAGCAGATTACCTTACTGTCTCATTCAGACGGTATTTCAGATCAAACCATCACAGAATAAGTTAAATTCAAGCTGAAGCAGCATTGAATGCTCCTCGCCGCTCTGCGCCTTTCCGGCCTAATGGCGTCCATGTGAGCTCCGGCACCACCAACTCGTCGCTGTTATCAACGCTCTCATGCCATTCCCACACTTTTTTACTAGGCGACGCAATTACTACATTTTCAAAATAGCCTTCAATTCAGTTCAGTACGAGTCCAGCAGCAAGCCTTTAAAGACAGGCTGAAAACTAACTTTCCACACACGATAGTTATTGTCACTTCCCTTGTGGTGATGTATAAATGGTGAGGACTTCCTGTAGTTTTTTGAGCATGTGGTCATCATGGTTTAGTGCAGTGGTTCCCAAACTTTTTCTTCTGCGCCCCCCCTATGGATTACAAATGGCTGTCTGGTTGAAACGACGCGTGTGACGGGGGCCGGGGGAATAGCTGAAAATAGACACCAACATCGGTAGCCTACAAGGTACTTGTTAAGCTTGTTAAGCTGAAGGTTCTGTATTGATATTAGCTAGTCATCTTTTAACTAACATTACCTGCATCCAGCAGCTTTACTCAACTCAGTCGGTTAGTTTGGAGGGAAAAACTGTGAAAAGTTCTTTGCGTTTTGCTGGTTTGCTGCCGTGATTCTAACACACCTGTAGCTCCGCCCAGCAGCAGCAGGTCTCCTTCACAGGTGGAAACCCAGCGCGAGCCGTAGCGCTCATGTTGCGTTTAAAGGCGGCTCGGAAAAACAGGTTACAGCATGTTAACAACGGATAAAACAGTTTTAACTGCTGATAAAAGTGACAGAGGACACAAATATGGGAAGTGTGGAAGACCCTACTGTATCAAATTGACATAGGAATAACAGAGAGTTGGCCATTATAAGGTAAAAACCCAGCCATTCTAAGGTAAAAACCCAGTGCATACAGTGTTCATGTTTTGTTTTGTTTTCATCCAGACGGCTTCCCGCGCCCCCCCTGCAATGACACGGTGCCCCCCCCTAAGGGGCGAGCCCCACAGTTTGGGAACCTCTGGTTTAGTGGATACAGATTCAATCTTTTGAGATAGTACAGTTCGTCCTATCTCACCGTAGGGGGCGCTGTTGAGCTGCTTGGCCACGACCACTTTTGATTCTATAAAACTCCAATCAAGCAGAGGACAATTTTGGGCAAAGTTTGGTGAATTTTCAGCCAAAGCCCCAAGAAAAATATGAAATCCTACAATAACAATACGCCTGTAGACATTTTAAAAAATAATTTATTTTTACAGATAAAAACAGTTCCAGCTGCAGCAGCCAGTTCAGATCCCACTCAGACTTCCAGCAGAGCTCCAGTGAACTGGACTCTGTGAACTGGTTCCAGTCCCATCATCAGGTCCCAAGTTGCTCCTCATCCCTCCTCAGATCCAGGATGTATCTGTCAGCGGACGGATGCTGCAGAGAGCAACGCCTCCTTCTGCAAACACTCCCAGTCAAACACAAACAGAGCTGGAAATGCTGCAGGAAACCAGTCCCAGAAATTAAACCATCAACCCCAAACAAGCATGAATCCAGAGCAGAGAGCTGAAAATAGGCATAATGTTGCTGCTGTACATAAAATCTGAGGTTTTTTTTCTGTCTGGCTCTTTATAAGTTGCTTTGTTTGCAAGAAACTAATTTTAGAGTATAAAGTGATAATTAAAGGGTGCAGTACTTCCTCTGACCTGTAGGGGGCTGTATTTGACAAAAGAAGCTAAAAACACAGATGTTAGATTATGATTTTTTTTTTTTTTGCATTTAACATTTAACTGTATATTCTTAAAGTTGGAATATTGTTGTCATTTAGAAAAATTACTTAAATATGTGTATGTTACTTTTTAATAATTAAGACATTAAGGATATAAGAAGAATTTTCCCTCTCAAATGTCCTTAAACTCCTAAAAATTTTGAATTTTCATTGACAATTAATGTTTTAAATTAATTATATAATATTCTAATAATATATTTTATTTAAAAAGAAATCAGTTTGTCATGTTTTCAATATGAAAACAACATGGATGAGACTGAAACTCTGCATCTAAATCAGCAGCAAAAACATGCAGAAAACAAACTGGTGGCCTGTCCAGACCACCTGTCCAGACCACCTGTCCGGGTGACCCCGCCTCTTGCACGAAACGTTGCTGGAGGAACCAGCAGCCCTCCTGATCCCACTTGGGTCAGTTAGAAAATGGATGGATGCCAGGAAATTAAATAATTAAAAATATTTTCAGTTAGCTGTGTTTTGTTTAATAAATCGAAGTAAATATCTTAAGCTGTGTTTCTCATGGAACATTGCTCATTCCTCAGGGGCGTGTCCTGGTGTCCCTCATCTTTCTCTTTCAGTTTGAGTTTCAACCTGAAACGTTTCTCTGTGTCTCTGCAGCTGTATGAGATCCTGGCCAGAACTCCGTACGGTTGTGTGAACCGGGGCGAGGTGGGCATCGACCGGCTGATCAGTGAGGAAGTCTTCACAGCAGCGTACCCACTGCATGAGGTCTGAACCTGACATCCCTACAGTTTAAAATGGTTTACAGGAACTTTTACAATGTCAGCTCTGTTTGCAGGGGAACTACAAGATGCCGGACAACCCAGTGTCCCTCCAGTCTTTAGGACTGAGGCAGATCCTGCATGGGTACTGGTCCAAGTGGTCCTGCTGGAGACGCTACCAACCTCTGGACCACATAAGGGAGTACTTTGGGGAGAAGATAGCTCTCTACTTTGCATGGATCGGTAATTCATGTCTTGTTTAAAATGATCCAGTCCAGATTGTCTTTCCCCGTTTTCCTTGCTGTGATCCAGACTTTCCTGTGATCCTCTAAATGAACAGTTCTCTGGTCTTTCTGGCAGACTTGATGGGTCTTAGAGATTTTCAGTGGATTTTAGCAGCTTTCTGTAGGATGAGGAGTTCCTCAGGGATGTGTACAGGAGTCCCTAATGTGGCTTGTGTGCAGTGTGGCTCACAGTAATCTATTAGCTTTAAATGGAAAACAAAACAGCACCACTTTAAAAGATCTTAACATGTTTTCTCGTCAGAAGGCAGATTTAACACAGACTACATGACTGTAACTCTCCTCAGTGTTAAGTCAGTGGGTGTCTGCAGGTTTCTACACTGCCTGGCTGCTGCCTGCATCTCTGGTTGGGACTCTGATCTTCCTGTTGGGTTTTGTGCTTGTGTCCTCCGACGTCCCAGCGTAAGAACACATTCTACTTTTATTGTTTAGGCTTCATGTTTTTGTAACAATCCCAGCTGCAGTGGTGAAAATGATTCACCACCCAAACAAAAGCCTGGATAGTTTGCTCAGAAGATGTTCTTTGTACCTGCAGGAAGGAGGTGTGTGAGAGCGAAGACACTTTCATCATGTGTCCTCTCTGCAACATCTGCTCCACCTGGAACTATTCCAGCATCTGCTTCACCTACAAGGTACCTGTGAGCCATCTTGCTTTCCTTGAACCAGCCTCAGTCGGTCCAAGCTGGGCTAAACAGCGAAGGGGTCAGTTATTGTCAGAACTAAAAGTTTTCATTTCTTAGCAGCGTTTTAATGACTTTCAACCAGCTGTCTGCTGCTGTTCAGGGTTGGGTTTTCAACCTCCTCCTGGGTTTCCTTAGACACAAAAAACTTTTTAAACTAAATTGAATAATAAACTTAATGAACTGTTTGATAACTAGGATCAACTGAAATTGTTTATTGGATTGAATTTACCTTTTTTTGTCAAGCGCATCGAGATGACACGTGTTGTGAAGAGGAACTACATAAAGTAACTGACCTGTTGAACTGGAGGCAGTTCAATAATAAAGTTTGTCTCTTTATTTAGGTGTGGCGGCCACACAATCATTCTCAGGGCGGTAACTTTTGACACGCCTGATTTAATGTTTCTAACTCAGCGTTGTGTTTATGTTTTATCCTGACTCTGTCATTTCCCAGCGTTTCCAATGTTTTCGGCTCTGCCTCAGCGTGTCCTTCGTGTCTCTGCAGGCGGGTCTCCTGTTTGACAACGGGGGGACAGTGTTTCTCAGCATCTTCATGTCTTTGTGGGCCGTCACCTTCCTGGAGTACTGGAAGAGAACTTGTTCGTATCTTTCCCACCGCTGGGACTGCACTGACTTGGAGGACATTGAGGTTAGACGCCACGATGCCTCGCTCTAAAATGGTTCCACTTTCCAGAAGCTTCTGTAAGTCCTTTCCTTCCCCGAACAGGAGCGTCCGCGTCCAGAGTTCTCGGCCATGGCGCCGATGACCATGAGGAACCCGGTCACCGGGGCTGAGGAACCTTACTTTCCTGAGAATAAACGCTTGAACAGAACTGCCACTGGATGCATGGTCATCGTCATCATGGTAAACCTCCTGATCTTCCGCGTATTCCATCAGAAGTTAGAATAAGAGGTTGAACTTCAGTTTCCTGTGTGCAGATTTGTGTGGTCCCGATGTTCCTCATTGCCATTATTTTGTACCGTACCATCCTCAGAGTCGTCCTCTACAAGTCAACTACTACTGACAGCGCCTCTGTGAGTCTAACAGCCGGGGCGTTCCTTCCAGTGTTTTCAGAATCTGTACAGACAGTACAGATTTCTGAGTACGCTGCCCTGAGGGACACCATGCATTCCTGATGTTCTGCTCCTGAGCTTGAACTGGTTTCTGCTTTCAGGCTGGGACGATAGCCAGCATTTCAGCATCAGTGCTGAACCTGATCATTATCCTTACTTTGTCCAGAATTTACACCTCTCTGGCCGGCATCCTCACACGCTGGGGTGAGTCTCTGCTCTTGGTGCTGAAATCACTGAACGGTCCCTTCAGGCATTCACCATCCCAGTAGTGATAATAACAGAATCACACCTGGAGCAGAACAGACAGATCAACCAGGGGATACATAGCCTGACATCATCAGAGGCTCTCTTCCTCTTTTCGTATGCGGTTCGTTTTGTGTGGCATCAACCTTTTGGACCTCGGATCATTTCATGAGGCGTCCACCTGCCTGTTGGCTGGAATAGCGGTGCAGCGCCTCCTAGGAACTTTGATGGTCTGATTTTCGTTCAAGGTACTTTTGGTCTTTGTTGGTGATGACAACATTTGCGCCTCCTCTCCCAACTCACAGCTCTCATTGTAGCCAACCTTATAATTGGTTTTGAGTTGAGCTAGTGGTGTTAGCCTCTCTCTTTTTGGTGTTTTGCTTTAATTGTTGATGGGAGTGTTTTCCTCTCCCAGTTTTGGTTGTTTTTTTGTGCACTGTGTTGACTCTCCTTCAATGCTTGTAGTGGCAGTGTCATCATTCTGGTATTGGTGGCTGTATGGTGGGGGGAACTAATCTGGTTTCTCTGTTTCTGCTTGGTGCTCATAGGTTGCACCCACAGTCGGTTCCACAAGCACCAGTTTGAGATCTGCCCTGGTTCTGGAAGGTGTGTTTTACCCTCCATTAGAGGCAGGCAGACCTCAAGTGGAGAGCTACATGCTCTCTCTGTCAGCCCTTCATGTCTCAGATGGGTTTTGTTGGCTATGATGTCACCGTGTGGCCAAACACTGCATTTGTGCCTAAAGTGTTACCTCATTGTCACTGGAACCAGCCAATGAGATTGACACGATTTCAGCCGACATCAGGAGGAAGTTCTCAGGCTCAGAGGGACTCCTTGTGACATCACTGGTATTAGTCACCAGGGTTTTCAGCAACACCCTCTGGCGGTCAGTAGGGATGAAATAGAACAAAACTTATGTATGTAGCTATGGATCGATGAATCCCAGATGACCGTAGAGGTTCTCTGACACTCGCATTGGACGACAAGATTCTGTAAGAACAGAGCCTCGGATGATGTCAGGCTATCATATGGTTGATCAGCCAATATGTCACAGCTGTGACTCTGTATCTGGTGTTCATGTGGTGGAAACCTCTCCGTCTTCACCATCTTCATGCCTGTGTGCTTGTTGCTATTCAGAAATGCATCGCACTCAAACCAAATATGAAGACATGTTCATCCTCAAAGTCTTCATATTCCAGTTTGTGAACTTCTACTCAACTCCAGTCTACATCGCCTTCTTCAAAGGCAGGTGAGAGCTGCTCCAGCAAATCGCGACGGCCTCTAAGCTTCTTCAATGTAACATTTTTATCAAGTATTTGAGTGGTTCTGCTTATAATCATATGATTATAAGTCTTTGGACTTTCTCCAAAGACTTAGCCTGTGTTTGTCCTAACAAGCTTGTTTGTGGGTCTCTTCAGGTTCGTCGGTTACCCGGGAATGTACAACACTCTGTTTGGCATTCGCAATGAAGCTGTGAGTTTGTTTTTGTTCATGTCTGAAAGAAAAACAAATGTTTCCTTAATCAGAAAATTATTTTTCAAGGGGCTGCCTGATATAGAGAAAGTCTTCCAGCATCCTGAGGTTCTTGAGGATAGATGGATCAGAACTTCATTCACAGGTGTTCATCTGATCTGAGACCTCCTGTAGAGGTTTAACTTGGAGGCTCTCCAGGCGCATCCCACTGGGTTCAGACTCTCAGGCTGATCCAGAACTTTCTGAAGGGCCTATGAATGCTTATGCCTTATTTCCACTGACGTTACAGCATGGGTCAATGCAGTTTGCTATTTTATGCTCCAGCCCGTTTAGAAAAGCATTTCCAGAATCAGTTGGACGCTTACTGGGCATGTGGGGTTAAACCCAAATCCATAAAGTTGCATCATACGAGTGCGATGATGGATGTGATGTTTGACGTCTTTCTGTCCCCCAATCAATAGACGGTGTTGTGTTGTGTGACGCCAGTAGATCCTCAAAACTGGACCGTACCATTGTCCTTAGGACCTAAACCAGAAATGGGTCAGGAGTATTGCAGCATGGGCCAATGGAAACAGAGCCGTACCGCTCAGGAGATCCTCCGACTGAGCTTGAGAGTGTTGTTGGAGAAAAGCTCCATTCACACTGCAGCAGGAAGTGACCCAATTTCTATTTTTGTTTTTTTTGCCTTAATGCGACCTGTATCTGACCTTTTTATGAGATCCGATACATATCCAGTCTTTTCAAATGTGACCTGAATCCTAACGGCCAGGTCCCGAACGTCAATGATTCTCCATAAACGTCACTATTCTGTGTCCTGATAAGCAAGCGGGAAGAAAAACAACCATGGTGGACAATAATGAGGGTTAAGTTGTTAATGTGCTGCTCCGTTGGACAACAACTTCAAAATTCATAAGATATGCTCCGCCGTTAGCCTCCATGTTTACTTGCACAGTTCCTGACCACTACTTTTTTATGGCAAAACACTCTGTCTGATGTTATTGCGCCCTCTACTGTGCATGTGAGACACTTTCAGATCTGCAGTGTGAATGTAGCCTAAGTGAAGTCTGGGTTTGCCTCCTGGACATTTCAACCTGCTGATCTTGCACCATAACTCATAGCTCCAACAGTTAGATTTTTTCCAGAGGCAGTTAATATAAATGAAGAAGATGATGTTCTTGTCTCTGTTCCAGTGTGGAGCCGGCGGGTGTCTTATTGACCTGGCTCAGGAGCTGCTAGTCATCATGGTGGGAAAACAGAT